ATTCTAGTAACAAAAATTAGAAATTAAAAGTTAAAAATCAAAAGCATCTAAAAAATACCAAAAAGTAGAAACTATTTAGGGACAAATTTGGTAAAATATATGAAACACCGGTATACTGAAAACTATACATTTCTGAAAGAAATTAAACAAGATCTAAAAAATGGAAACATATACTATGTTCATGAATCACAAGCTTTTGTATTTATGGAATTCCAGGTCTCCCTAGATTCATAATATAGATTCAACACAATCCCAAACAAAATTTTGGCAGCCTCTGTTTTAGAAACTAACAAGTTGATTATAAAATTCAGATAAAAAAGGAAAGAACCTAAAATAGCCAAAAATCATTTCGAAAAAGAATAACAAACTTGAAGGGTTCACAATACCTCTCGAGACTTGTAATAAAGCCACAGGGCCAAAGTGTACAACTTTGGTGTCAAAATAGACACAGATCGATGAAATGGAAAAGAAAACCCAAAATAGGCCCACCTATATGTAGAAAAGTGGTTTTTCTAAAGTTTTGGAAATACAATTTAGTGCAGAAATGATAGTCTTTTCAACAAATGTTGCTGAAATAATTAGATATCCATATGCAAAAAAAACCCTTTGATCCATACCTCATATCATACACAAAAATTCAGTAAAAATGTATTATTAATTTAAATGTAAAATCTAAAATTATAAAACTCTGAAAGAAAACACAGGAGAAAATTTTTATGATATTAATTAGGAAAAAAATTATTATATTTATTTATTTAACAACCCTACTATGAGAGCCAGGGGTACACAGGCTTGGTTTAGATAGCTGGCAAATGAATCAAATGACTGCAATTATTTGCATATCTTTGCCATATGCAATTTTCTAAAGACAGTATGTGTTTGTAAAGCTGTGAAAAAATCACACGCAAAAAATTTTATGAGTACTATGTCATGTTTTCATTTAATTGACCATGAATATAACTACTATATCTATTGCTTGGACTTTTTGTTATTGATGTTTGTTCTCAAGTTTGGATACAGACCTCATAAAATGGAAAACACTAAATTAAAGTGTTCCCTTTATTGGTAATACAGTGGTTGCTCTACGAAGCAAGGGTATAAGGAACCCTTGTTTTCCTCTTCTGATTATGAAGCTGATCAATAAAGTCTGTGTCCTGCTTGGAAATGCAAGTCCTGGTGAACGGCAGAATTCTTCCCACATAGCTGAGTGTGTGAATATTTGCAAAATTAAGGCAGAGTCTGATTTAATTACAATGGTAGTAGGAAAAAAAGTTATTTGACAATTCTCTAAAACAGACCCAGCCGACAAACGGGCATTTTCTAACAGCAGTGTTATCTGGTTATGAATTAAGAACTTAATGGGATTAAAGGAAAATGAGCTTTATGTTAGAAGCTGCTAATTTTTTTCCACACTGAGTTTTCAAATACCTGTGCAGTTTTAACATCACTGACTCACTGAGTATAGCTCTTCTGGAAACAACAGTAACTGTTGTTCGTAGAGGGTTAACTCTGCCCTAAGCACTATGCTAGGTGTTTCATGCTTTCTATTATTTTGCTTTCCACTATTTGACTTCTCACTACACTAACACCTTGAAACAGTCATAACCAGTCCCTTGTTTTCAATGGGAAGACTAAAAGTGAGTCACTGGATGACTGCCTGCAAGAGTGTGGGAGGCTGAAAAATGGTCTCCCAAAAGCTATACATGATCAAATGCCTGGAATGTGTGAATGTCACTTTATATGACAAATAAAAAGAGGAATCTTTGCAGGTGTGATTAAATTAAGAATCCTGAGATGGAGAGACCATCCTAGATCATGCAGATGGGCCCTGGGTACATGTCTGATAAGAGGAAGGCAGGAGGAGATTTATTTCAAAGAAAAAGAGAGAAGAGAAGAGAAGGCGGGGCTGAGGATGTGGCTCAAGTGGTAGGGCGCTCACCTGGCATGCGCGGGGCGCTGGGTTCGATCCTCAGAACCATATAGAAATAAAATAAAGATGTTGTGTCCACCGAAAACTAAAAAATAAATATTAAAAAATTCTCTCTCTCTCTCTTTTTCTAAAAAAAAAAGAAAGAAGAAGAGAAGGAAAGAAGAGGAGGAGGAGGAAGAGAAGGAGAAGGAGAAGGAGGAGAAGCAACAACATGAAGATAAAGGAGACTGGAGTGATATGGCACAAGCCAAGGAACTGAAGTAGTCAAGAGAAGATGTAATCAGCAAGGGACAGATTCTCCTTGGGGTGGGGGGATGCTGTTGCCAACATCTATTTTTTATGTATTTACGTATTATTTGTACTGGAGATTGAAACTAGGGATGCTTACCATTGAGCTACATCCCCAGAATCTCCTCCACACTTTATTTTATTTCAAGACAGGATATCACTAAGTTAATAAGGCTGGCCTTGAACTTGCCATCCTCCTGCCTCAGCCTCCAAAGTTGTTGGAATTATAGGCGTGCTCCACCACGTGCAACATCTGCCAACATCTTGATTTGGGGCAAGCAGTACTGATTTCAGACTTTCAGCCTCCAAAACTGAGAAAACAAATTTCTGTTGTTTCAAACCACCAAGTTTGTGGTAATCTGCCACCGTGGCTTTGAGAAACCAACACACAGTGGTAGCCCTTTGGGCAAAGACTTTTCAAACACCATACAAAAATGACCCAACCCCTCCCATTGGCAGTACAAGCTCGGACCAGGAGAGAAAAAAAAAGGAAAGAAAGCCCTGGCAGAACTAATTGGGACACTCTATCCAGAAGCTTCCAGAAGGATGAGCTTTCTGGTAAAGGGTGAAGCAAGAAACAGGCCCTTGGGGATGCTATTCACTGCTCTGTAAGAGCCCTAGTCACAGTTCTTCCTGGAAGCTTTAGCCACCCCACAGCACCTGGACAAATTGTGCTCTTTGACTAAACTACAGAGGGGCTAGAGCTCCACCCCCTGCACTGAGGAGCACCTGAGGCATGGCTCACCACACCTCCTTCATGGCAGCCAGAAATCCTATGCAGCAGATAGGAAGGAAGAGCCCTGGGACTTACCTAAGAAGACAGTGAAGCTTGTGGGAAGATAGTTATAGCCACAGTTGGGGACAAGGACAGTGGATAGTCAGACAGGGCTACAAGGGTACCATAGACAGACAGCCCCCAGGCCAGGAAAAAACATCATTTCAGCCAGAAAGTGTGCCCTTCCCAGAAGGAAAGCCATCACCTTCCTTTCTTCCTCAGGAAGGAGGACACAGCCTTTCCCAAATAGAGTTCCATAGCACCCTGGCCCAGCATGCCCAGGGGTGCCCAAGGAGAAAGGGCTCCTTTAACCAGCCCATTAGGAATGTAGACAGCAACATTAGGATTGGATCTCAGGACATTTGCTCCCCACAGGAACCCCCCAAAGACAGCAGTGTCCAAAGTCTCTAGGCCCACTCCTTCCCAGCCCTCTTAAGCTCTCTCTCTCTATTCCAGATGTCTACCTGCATGCCCAGGTTTGCTCCCACACCCACAGCTGGACCCCAAAACGAAATCACCCAAGTAAAACAAGTTCAGCATCTCAGCCCCATGTGATCATCGCCTGGCCCTGCCCTGCCCAGCCCAGTGGGGCTCCTCACTCAGCCTCCACCATGCAAAGATGCTCTCAACTCTACTGCCTCACTGCCAGCTCCAGCAGGGCCCTCTCCTATCCCCTCCATTGAGGGAACATCCACTCTTTCTCCCAAGACCTTCACCACTGCCCCCACTGAGAAATGCACTGATTTTCCCTGGAGCTGGCTGCTCCCTCCCCATCCACTGACTTCAGCACCCCCTTCCCCACCTGGAGGGGGGCTCAATAAAAGAGAAGGGGAACTTGGCTCCATCCCGTGCGCTCCTTCCACCTCCTCAAAGAGCAGAGATGGTGAGGGTCCTCTGGGGTCTGAGGAAGCCCTGATGGCCAATGCCCCAGCAAGCCTCACATCTGGGCATCCCACCACTGTCCTCTGCTCCCTTCCTCCCACTGAGAGAGGAGCCTTCCTTGGTTGTAGTCAGTCTTCCTGCAGAAGCCGCCCCTGTCTGCACAGGCTGGGAACCAGTATCAGGGAGGATTTGCCAGATGAAAGAGCTAGAAGAGGATTTCCACTACAGAGTAGCAGGGCACATTCTTAGCTCTGATCTGATTACTGCTGTGAGCAGTGCAATTTATCCCAAACATTCCCCTGGGCAGTAGAGAAAAATGAAGGGCATCCCACTCAGCAAATGTGCCCTCCTGAGGCCTGGCATAGTCAGTTTCTGAAACTTGGACTCTTGCCCCACATGCTCTCTCTTTCTGCTTTTAACACCAACATGTTCCAGGATGAAGGGGAGACTCTGGTAGCCCCTCAGAGCCTGCTGGCCAATGCAAAGAGCTCCTGAGGCTATTGACCAGGCTCCCACGGGGGGCAGTGGTAACCCAGGGGATTATGTGGTACACATGGAGGCTCTGTGGGTTTACTGTTCTCAACATCCAAGCACTACATTTCAAGCCAAAGCTGTTAGCATAGCCTTGGCTGGACCTCAGCAGGACTTGGTGCCAGTTATGACCTGTTCCACTCCAGCATGAAGCCTATTGAGGGCAAAGATGACCACTGCCCAGACTCAGCATGTTCATTGGCAGTTGCAGCCCCAGAAGAATGGCAAGCCCAGTGTCAGCAGAGACATGGCCATGGATGCCTCAGGATGAGGGGTGTGGCCACTGGCTCTGTCTGCCAGGAGGAATGGCAAAAGGCAGCTCTGTGCCTGGGCACAGCCTGCAAGACACAGCCTCTTTCTAGAAGACTTGGTTGAAAGGTACCCTGGCAGAGTTTGTGCCGTGTGCACTAATCTGATATGTGCAAATCCAAGGAGAGAAAGCAATGAACAGTGAGGCTCCAAACACAGCAATTTACCACCTTCCTGGTGATAAATGACTTGGCACTCAGTCTAGCTCCCATTCTAGATACAGGGAATCACTGAGCACAGAAGCCATTCTGATTTAACCTGAACAAAGGAAAATGCTGAGCTTACCGTGGCTAACTCGTCGAACTTGCCAAAGAGTTCATTGAGCAGTTTCACCAGCTCCTGGGCCGTGCACTGGGATGCCAAGCCTGTGAAGCCCACGATGTCCGCAAACAGGATGCTGCAAGAGAAAGGGTTGCCAGGGCCATCTCCTCTCAGTCACTTGGGAAATAATGACCTCCAGAGTTGCATAGATATTTACACCCACAAAACACTTTAGAATAAATCACCCCATTTATCCCTCAGCACAGGCTGGAAATAAAGGCTTCCCTGTTCCCATTTTACAGGTGAGAAGACTGAGGCTCAGAGCAGCTGCAGGACTCCCCTCTTGGTCCCAGAAGGAGTTTAGCTGCTGGGTCATTCAGAGCTTGCTGTCCCCCATGCCAACCCCTCCCACTACCCACTGTCTATTAGACCGCCTCTTCCCAGGGAGGCCATGTGACCGGGTGGTAGCCAGAAGCACTGAACTGAAGTGATAAGCTTTGAAGAAGTGTGTGGGCCCCTCCACATGACATCCTCTTTTTCTCCTTCCACTGCCAGCTGGATACAGGTGACTGTGAGGCCCTGGGTGTGGTGTTAGAGCCTCACAATTAAAGGGGACAGATAACTGAATTGTTCTATAGAGATGTTATACTCTTATGTCAAGTCCTCCACATATTTATGACAGAACTTGAGTCAGCCTCGAGAACTCAGTGCCCACCCACAGAGCAGAACTATTTTTCTAGAGTTTGTAGAAAAGACTTAAGTCCCAAGTCTAATACTGCAAACATAATAAATATTCAAATATTATTTCAAAGTTACTATAAGTAGTATATTTGTTGCTCAATTTAAGTTTTCATATGTGTTCCACATCTGGGATGATGGGACAAAACTAGGTTTAAAAGATGTTTTCTAGGATTTCCTTCTTTTCTAACTTCTTTAATTAATTAATTTATTTATTTACTTACTTACTTTTTGGTTTTTGTTTTGAGACTGGGTCTCACTGGCTTACTGGGGCTGACCTTTAAAATGAAACTTCCAACTCAGCCTTCCAAATTGCTGGGATTATAGGCAAATACCACCATACCCAGTTGTTTTCTTATAAAATTAAAACATGCTCTCTGCAGAGTATTTGAGAAATGAAGAAACACTGTTTGTCTTGAAAACATTACATTTTAAGATACATCTTAAAACATGGCCATAACTACTATTCAAGGTATAAGGTGTTCTTAGCTTTCTCTAACTTTTGGGCTTCCTTAACCTATACAACCTCCTCCCAGAATCCCTCTAAGGAAGCCATAAATGCCAATAAAAGAAAACAAAGCCAGGCGTGGTGGCACACACCTGCAATCCCAGCAGCTCAGGAGGCTGAGGCAGGAGGATCGCGAGTTCAAAGTCAGCCTCAGCAATGGTGAGGTGCTAAGCAACTCAGTGAGTTCCTTAAAATACAAAATAGGGCTAGGGATGTGGCTCAGTGGTGAAGTGGTAGAGTGCCCTTGAGTTCAATCCCTGGTATCCACCCCCTCCAAAAAAAAGAAAACAAGCATTTTTGTGGACAAGAGACTATCACCAAAGAGGAACCAGCCCAGCTAAACTGATGAACATCTGTAATCCCAGGTACTCAGAAGACTGAGGAAGGAGCACAAATTCGAGCCAGCCTGGGCAATTTAACAAGACCCTGTCTCTCAAAAAAATAAATAAATAGGGCTGTGGGTGTAGCTCAGTAGTAGAGCATTTGCCTAGCATGTTCACGGCCCTGGGTTCAACCTCCAGCACTACAAAAAAAAAAAAAAAAAGAATAAAAATAGAAGAAGAAAGGAAAGCAAAGCAGGGGCTCAGAGCTCTACTCTAGCAGGACTGTCCAGCTCTACCAGCTATAGCAAGGGGCCCCAGGCAACTAATCCAACCCTTATGTCCATCCTTTAATTTGTAAAATGGGAATAAGACAAGAGGCCACCTTACATCAAGTAAGAGCTCTCTCATTGTTTACAATCATTTACAATTATTTTTAAGTATTATAATTCATTCATTCATTCATTCACTTGCTCATTTGACAAGTATATATTGAGGGCTAGATGTACTGGCATTATTTTAGGGGCTTGAAACTTGGTAGTAAACAAAAGATTCAAACAAACATGACTGTCCTTGGAAGAATCCCCTTCCATTTAAGGAAGGGACATATAGAGTATGCCAAAGTGACAAGTTTAAGTATAGTGAAAACTAAAGCTGGGGAGACAGACATGGAGTTGTGTGTACTGTTATCTAGGATGGATCAGGTGAGTTTTGTGAGACTGGAGGAGGGCGATGCATAGACAATGAGAAGACAGGATTCCAAGTGGAAGGAAGAAAAGATACTGCTCCTGTGAGTTTTGCTGGAATTTAACTTTTCATTTCAGCCTCTCACTCCCATCCCCCTGCCTCTGGCCTCCCTGGTTTCTGATGGGAACTCAGTAGTTAATCTTATAAAAGCTCACTTGTAGGTGAACAGTCATTTCTTTTTTGCTACTTTAAAGGTTGTCTCTGCATCTTTAATTTATTTCCATTTGATCATAATGTGTCTTGCTGTGTGTCTCTTTTTAGAGGGCATTGAGCTTCTTGGTTGTATGTGTTAGTGTTTTCCAAAAACATTAGGGACATTTTTGGCCATTATTTCTTTAGATAGTCTTCCTGCCCCTTTCTCTTTTTCCTTTCCTGTGGGACTCACTATGCATGCGTTGATATTCTTGAGGGTGTCTCACAGCTCTGAGTTTCTCTTCATATTTTTCATCCTTTTTTCATTGTTCTTCTGATTGGAAAATCTCAATGGACCTATCTTCAAGTTCACTGATTCTTTTTTGCCTACTCAAGACTAATTGTGGAGGCCATTCAGGAAATTTTTCATTTCAGTTATTGTACTTTTCAACTTTGGAACTTCTATTGTTTTTTTTTAATAATTTCTACTCCCTATTGATATTCCCTATTTAGTGCAAAATCATTCTTAGCATTTCCTCTAGTTATATAGATACAGTTTTGATCCTTAAACACATTTAAAACAGCTGAGTTAAAATTTTTGTTTAAGAAGTTCCAATATCTAGGCTTCCTCAGGGATGGTTACCATTAACTGCTCTTTTCGCCCTGTGTGTGACCATATATACACTTATTTTATTTATTTTATTATTTCATATCCAATATATTTCTATTGTGAGCTGAATAGTACAATGTGGCAACTCTGGAAATAATATTTCCTCACCCCATTCCCATCTCAGGTATTGTTGCTATTTGGTTTGATCGTATTTAGTGATTCTTATGGACTAATTCTATGTACATTTGGCCTTCTGAAATTTCCAGAGCTATTCAAAGCACCCTGTGTACATCTCATTCCCCAGATTATCCTTTAATTTTTTTTTTGGGGGGGGTTACCTTACTGTTTACCTAAGGCAGCTATGATGTTAAACAATTTCCACTGGTTGGTTTTTCATCAAAGGTGCTGAGCAAAGGCAGTCCACACTGGGCTATGCATCAGGTACAATAGAGTTGGCTCATGAGTAGGATTTCCCAGGGAAGTTCAGACAAATAATGACAATTCTCTGAGAATGGGGTTTAGAAAGAGCCATCAATTCCATTCTGACCCCCCTCAGTGGCTTCCAGGGTGCTAGTTTATACTCTGATTGCTATTGTTGGTTTTCAATGCTATTGTGGAGCTGAGGAGACAGAAGGTTGGCATAGGGCAAGTTAAAAAGCCACACAGCTCACTGTTCTTGAAATTTAGTTATTTTTCTTAAATACTCCTGGATTGTTGCAAGATTTTGGATAATTTCAAGAGTTCTTACAATGTTTTCCAGTGTTGTTTGTGCATTCTCAGAGAAGAGGATTGCGAAATATACTTGCTACACCAGCCCAGATGACATCAGTCCATGTGAACTGTGTATGGCACACTGAATTTTGACATCGATCCTGGAGTGATTCTAATGAGAATGGGAAAAGAACAGCAAGATGTTCATATCTGGGATAGAGAAACACATCTGTGATGGTTTCCAATGGTGGCCAGAGGGGTGAAGGTGGAGCTGGAACCATCAGCAATAAGGAGGCTCAGCTTCCTTGCTCAGAGTGTTGAACCTGCATCATCCTACCCACTGCTGGGGAACTCAGATGCCATTCAGGAGATGCAGATGGATAACTTTCAATAGAGAAGAAAAGTGGTGGTTCCCTGCATCTGCATTTTTTATCCCTGTCCCCAGATAAGAAGCCAGCTGAGGGAAAGGCACTTAGGTGTCCAGACCCTGTGTTCAACTCCAGCTGTATTCCCCAGGAGAACCTTGACTTTAAAAAAAAAAAAAAAATGCTGATCCTAGTGTCTTGGAGGATCATGAGGCAGGAGGATCATGAGTTCAAAGTCAGCCTCAGCAATGGCAAGGTGCTTAGCAACTCAGTGAGACCCAGTCTCTAAACAAAACACAAAACAGGGCTGGGGATGTAGCTCAGTGGTGGAATGCCCCTGGGTTCAATCCCTGGTAACAATAACAGCAACAACAAAAATTCTATTCTGGTAAGAATCTAACATGAAATCAAATTATTATTAGTTATGGGTACAATATTATATAGCAGATCTCTAGGACTTATTCATCTAGTTTTACTAAAACTTTATGGCTCTTCTTAACTTATAATTCCTCAGTTTCCCTTCCCCTACTCCCCAGAAAACACCGTGCCACTCTGATTCCACTCTTTAGTGACCTACCTTCACATTTGACTGCTTTAAATGCCTCATATAAATAGAATCATGCATTATTTGTCTTTTAGTGACTGGCTTATTTCACTCAGCATAATGCCCTCAACTCTTATTTATATTGTTACATAATGCAGACTTTCCTTTTCTATGAAGGAATAGTATTCCATTTTATGTACATACCACATTTTCTTTTTTAACACCTTTACTGAAATATCACTGCATAAATATTGGGCGTGTGTGGTGTACACTTGATGGTTTGATATACACATATATTATTAACTTATCCATCACCTCCACCTAGTTACCATCCTCTGTGTATGTACACGTGTTAATAAGATTGAACCTTGGAGCAAACGGATTGAACTCTTAGCAAATTTCAAGAATATATTGTTAAGTTTAATCATCCTGTTGTACATCAGATCTCAGAACATATTCAGCCTATGTAGCTAAAACTTTCATTCTTTCATCAACTTTATTCCATTTTTCCCTCCCTCCAGCTCCTGGCAAGCACCCCTCCCCCCTTTGCTTCTATGAGTTTTACCATTTTAGTTGCACATGGAAATGTGTCTAATTTAACTTACTGCAATGTCCTCCAGCTCAATCTGTATTGGCATAACTGGCAAGATTTCCTTCTTTTTAAGGCAGAATAGTATTCTACAGCGTAGAATATACATATCATATTTTCTTTATTCGTTCATATTTTGAGAGCACTTAGGTTGCTTCCACATCTTGCTTAGGGTGAATAATGCAATGAATATGGGAGTGCAGATATCTATTTGATATACTGATTTCATGTCCTTTGTATATACACCCTGTGGTAGACGATTAGGTGGTAGTTCTATTTTTTTTAAAGAGAGAGTGAGAGAGAGAATTTTAATATTTATTTTTTAGATTTCGGCGGACACAACATCTTTGTTTGTTTGTGGTGCTAAGGATCGAACCCGGGCCACACGCATGCCAGGCGAGCGCGCTACCACTTGAGCCACATCCCCAGCCCGGTAGTTCTATTTTTAATTTTTTGAGGCATTTTTACACTGATGTCCATAATAGCTATACCAATTTATATCCTCACCAACACTGTACAAAAGTTTCCTCTTCTCAATAACCTCACCAACATTTATCTGTTGTCTTTGAAAGCAGTCATTCTAATAGGTATAAGATGATTTCTCGTTGTGGTTTTAATTTGAATTACTCTGATGATTAGTGATGTTGAGCATTTTTTTCATACACCTATTGGCCATGTGAAATTCTTCATTTGAGAAAATTGTCCTTTTAAGTCCTTTGCCCATTTTTTAAATCAGTATGAATGGAAAGACTGGGTGGTAACTACGGGCAGGTGGGGCATGGCTGCAGGAGGTAGATCACTAAAGGCATGCCCTGAAAGGATCACAACCCTCTGTAGTCCCTAAAGTCCCTTCTCACCTTCCCCTCTCTGCTTCCTGACCCTACCATGAGCTCAGAAACTTTCCTTCACTGGGCCATTCCACCATGATTTGGTGCCTCACCTTGGCCCAGATCAATGGAATCAACTATCTATGCAATGAGACCTCTGACACCATGAGCCCCAAATAAACTTTTCCTCCTCTAAGCTGTTCTTATCAGGTATTTTTGGTCACAGCAATGAAAAGTTGTCTAAAACATTAGGCTTATGTGTGGTTATTGTTGTTGTTTGATTTTTGTTTGTTACCCATTTGTTTTTGTTACCCATTCATCTACTCTATGTCTTTTATGAAACTGATCGGTAAAGGAAAATGCAGAGACAAACACAAGATCTGTATTGCTATAATTGGGTAATGGGAATTCCTATTGTGTTGCTGTTTAGCATTCTTGCATTTTCTGTTTAAGAACTCCATTTAGCATCAGCCTATGGTGCTTGACATAAGATAGTATACTTTTTTGTGTCTTCAAGGGCCAATGACACCCAAAACCAAGAAGAGCCAGCTTATCAAAAGCTGAAAAGGAAAGTGCTTTGGGGTCCACCCAAAACTGTCTCCTACATGAGTAGCACTTATGCAAAGTGCCCATCCCAAACAAGTGACACTCCACTATTCTAAGTGTGCTACACTTTAGCAAAAAAATGTTTGAAAAGACTGTACAATGTAGAAAGTTAAATATTTTCAACATAATGTTAAAAACAGACAGACAAACTTCGGAGTCTGCAGCAAGCTGATTCACCTGAGAGATCAGCTTCTTCACCTGGAAAATGGGAACAACAGTCCCTACCTTCAAGGATGGTCAGATGAAAAGTGGAATAAGCACTCCCCAGACCCAAGTAGCAACTAAAATAATATTCAGCTATAATTCAGACATAGGCAAATCCTCAGCCCATAATGTCCCTGCTCAGACTCAATTTTAGGGACAGAATTCTAACCCTCTGGTCAACACAAGAAGTTCAAGGGTAGTGAAATAAGAAATGGGAGAGAGAACTCTAGCATCAGCTAAGAAGCCACAGCCCCTTCCACATGGGGGGAGCAGACTCCCTGCAGGACAGATGCCTACCTAGGCTTCCTGCCCACACCTCCCCACTCCTCCCCTAACTATTATGATTTTCCAACCTCCCTCCTTACCCCTCCTCTCCCTCCCTCCACCATCTCTCCCCTGCTTCCCTCATCTCCTCTCCTCCTCCGTTACCCCACCACCGCCCCCAGCCTTTCCTCACCCCTGCCCATCTCCCTCTTCACCTCTACACCACAGGCCCAGCCCTACCTCACATTGTCATGCCTCTGGATGTAAATCTTGTGGAAAATCCTCTCGGGGGGCTTCAAGAAGTCTTCCTTCATCTCCATGGCAACATTCCGGGGAAGGAGGCTCATAAGCAGCCGCTCCTAGACAGGAAAGAAGGTTCACATCAGACAACACGGGACTCCCAGTTCTTCCTCAGACCATCCTGGTTAAGGAAGGGTTGAAGAGTTGTCCTTCATGAGGAGCTACAGACCCTCCTCAGGCTTAGCCTATAAGCATCCAGGTCTGCAGACACTGCCCAGTTCCCAGAACCTCAGTGGGTCCCACACCAGAACTGGACTTTGAGCAAGTAACTGGCTCCAAGAATGCTGGCTGAGCAGGGCCTGGCCTCCTGAACACACAGCCTTGCCCACAGCCCATGCACATTGCTCCTTGGGTCAAGATACTGAGTCTTGGCCTGCTGGGCTCTCCAAGTTTCAGTGTGCAGTGGGATCATGGCTGCAAAAAGACAACCATCTCTGACCTGAGCCCCTACCCATACCCTCTTTGCAGCCTCCACAGCCCCAATTCAGTCGAAAAAGAGTCCTTCAGATTGCTTTCACAAGTCACTCTTCCCAAGGCAGAGACTGGCCAGATCTTTGTTCTAACATAGAGACAAAGCTTTGGGGATTAAGTGGTATTTTCTCCTGACCTTTGCCTTATAACTCCCCGCTCTATGGAGGTAAGGCATTTTTTAAAATCCCACCCCCCAAAAAAAATGTTTGGGTTTTGTAAAAATCAGTAATAAATAATATTAATTTTAGTTATAATCATTATTAACTATAAAGAATTGTGGGTTTTATTGTGGTATATTCAAACATACATTAAAAACATTATTTGGTCGATTTCATGCTCAAATACTTTCCCCACTCTCCACCTCTTGATCCCCTTCCTCTACCCTAATGGTCTCCTTTCTGTTTTCATGAAATCCCTCTATTCCCTGATATTCCCTCTACCTTCCACATATGAGAGAAAACATGAGTCTCTTCTCTGATTTATTTCACTCAAAATTGTGATCTCCAGCTCCATTTTCCTGCAGATGGCATAACCTCATTCTTCTTTATGGCTGACTAAAACTCCATTGTGTTTTCTTTTTTCCATTCATACGTTACGGGACACCTAGGCTAAGTCCTTAAGTTGGCTACTGTAATTACTTGCAGTATTATGCTCCATTGGTCTACCAATCTGTTTTTAAGTTTGTGTTGCAATAAATACGGGTATGCATGCATCCCTAAAGAATGCTGACTTTAATTCTTTTGGGATAAATAGCAAGAAGTAGTATAGCTGGATCTTATGATAGTTCTAATTTTAGCTTTTTGAGGAACCTCCATATTGATTTCCACAGTAACTATACTAATTTACATTCGCACCAACAGTGCATGAGTTCCTCATCCTCCCCCTACCCTCCTATCTTCACAAGCATTTATTGTTAATTGTATTCTTGGTGACTGTCATTCTGACTGGAATGAAATGGAATCTCAGTGTAGTTTTGATTTGCATTTCCCTAATTGCTAAAGATATTGAACATCTTTTTTATAAAATTGTTGGCCATTTGTACTACTTCTTTTGAGAAGTGCCTGTTCAGTTCATTTGTCCATTTAATGATTGGGTTAATTGACTTTTGAATATTGAGTTTTTTAGTTTTGATATATTCTGATTATCAATCCTTTGTTAGAAGAGTAGCTGGCAAAGATTTCCTCCCATTTCATAGGTTGTCTCTTTATTGTATTCTTTGCTGTGCAGAAGCTTTTTAATTTGATGCCATCTCATTTATTGATTTTTTTCACCTATTTCCTGAGCCATAGGGGTCCTATTCAGTAAATCTTTGCCTGCACCTACGTTGAAGTGTTGCCCCTATTTTTCCTTCTAATGCTTGCAAAGTTTCTGGTCTTATTCCTAGGTCTTAGATCCATTTTAAGTTGACTTTTTTTTTTACAAGGTGAGATGTAGGAATATATTTTCATTTTTCTAACTCTGGATGTCCAGTTTTCCTAGCACTACTTCTTATAGAGGCTGCCTTTTCTTGTCACCTTTTCCAGAATCAGACAACGTTATCAGTGTGGGTTTGTTTGTGTCTTCTATTCTGATCCATTGGTCTGCATGTCTGTTTTTATGCAAGTACCCTGCTATTTTTATTACTATGGCTCTGCAGTATAATCTGAAGTCCAGGTATAATGATGTCTCCAGTATTGCTCTTTTTGCTCAGGATTGCTTTGACTATCCAGGGTCTTTTGTTCTTCCACATGAATTCTACGATTCTTTTTTCTAATAAGAAAAAGAATATCTTGGCACTTTGATAGAAATTGCACTGCATTTGTAGATTGCTTTTGGTAATATTAACATTAACTAATATTAACATTAATAATAATATTATAAATAATATCATTAGTAAAATAATATTAATAAATATTAACATTAACTAATGTTAATATTAACTAATATTAACAATATTGGTTCTGCCTATCTTGTGTCTTCAATTTCATTATTCCTCTGGATTTCACTGGCTTTTGTTGTAATGGCTTCTTTTTTGTTTTGTTTTGGGTTTTGGTCTCTAATTTTATTAATTTGGGTCTTCTCTTTCTTTTGCTTATTTCAGCTAATGGTTCATCCTTCTTGTCTATGCTCCCCATAAAGTAGTGCAGGAGGAGGGACAAATGAAGAGAAAACAAGATGAAGAAGGACAAATAGGAGGGTATAAAAATGAGAAAGAAGAAGAAAAGGACTAAAGAGAAATAGCAAATTTTTTGAAGTATGATTTTATATAAAAGTATGCAATCACAATAATGAGGGAATCAAAACTAATAATAACCATACAACTCATATCAAAACTATGATTTTCTCCTTGCCTGGGTACATAAGGTAGAGAGCCTTTCTTTCAGGACTTCTGGATTAAGAATCTGTGAAGGATTGAGGATGTGGTAAATATTCAAGCTACAGAAGCATGACTTCTGAAAGACTGTGGGTGTGGAGGCGGTAATTGAACACACAGGCTCAGTGTTAGGATGGGGCATGGAATCTTTACTTCTTCCCACTTCCAGGACTGTATGCTGGTCCACTTAGTGGCTCTGTGTCAGGCCCAGATGCTGGAGATACGTCTGGAAGCACAAACATGATGGTCTGGGGATTTGTACAGCCCAGAGGCCAAACCTCTGGTGGGGGCACTGCATGTTCATGGGGCAGAGTCCACACCTAGTACTCTTTTTTAAAAAAAAAAAAAATATTTATTTATTTATTTATTAGTTATCGGTGGACACAACATCTTTGTTTGTATGTGGTGCTGAGGATCGAACCGGGGCCGCACGCATGCCAGGCGAGCGCGCTACCGCTTGAGCCACATCCCCAGCCCCACACCTAGTACTCTTAACACAGTTCACATCCCACCCTTCAGCTCCACCAAGGAAGCCCTGAAAGCTCTGCCGTGGGTTCAGTGCACCCTCTCACAGCTCTGGTCCCATAGCAGCTCTGTTCCAGCCCGGATTCCTCTCTCACTATGATGGGCATTGGCTCTCAGCAGTCCTAGGCTCCCCTTGATCTCTCAGTCTAATTCAAAATCATTCTCTGGAGCCAAAATTGCTACCACTTCCAGGACTGAGTGGACACTGGAGTTTAGCTTTTCTAGCACCGCCAACTAAGGCAGACCCTCACAAAATGGCTTCCTGCCACAGTATTCTACTGAAAAACTGAGAAAAGCAGAACACTTCTGTCACAATGTGCGGCTTCTGTGTCAGCTAAGTTCAGTCTAATATTCTCTTCTACTGCTATTTTCAAAGCAATCTTATCATTTTGCCTCTTTGTCTCCTTTCTGTGGCTTCCCTCCCTCCTCCCCTGTCTAGGCAGCACATGTGCAAGCTCATAACTGATTCCCTCTCACTATCTGTTTCAGTAACCAGAATTTCTGAGTCTCCAAGTCTGTCAGTTTACTGCTGATCCTCAGTGTGTTCCCTCAGATACCCACGTTGCTGTGTGGGTATTCTCTAGATGTTTTGATTTCAAACTGCAGACAAGTTGGAAAGCACAGCTTGGATCCCCTCTAAGTTCCCCCATGTTGGGATTTTTCAAGGACAGCTGTGCCACCCTAAAGAGGGCCATTCCCAAGGTCTCAGTTTCCTCATCTGGACCAGTGTGAGTAGGACTTTGATTCTCTCCAGGAACGTGGATGCTTTCCTGACCTTAGCCCCCACTGGCCCCTGACCCACAGGGCACAGCCCTGTGTCTGACAAATCTCATGCTGGACCTGTGGTGTGAGGGTCTCCACTTTTCCTTCAGGCCCACCCATGTCTCCTCTCACACTGCTTTGGAGAGGAAACGAAAAGAATGGAATTTAGGAGCTGGGGTTGTAGCACAGTGGTACAGCATTTGCCTAGCACATGTGAGGCTCTGGGTTCAATCCTCGGCACCACATAAAAAATAGGGGCTGGGGATATGGCTCAAGCGGTAGTGCGCTCGCCTGGCATGCGTGGGGCACTGGGTTCGATCCTCAGCACCACATAAAAATAAAGATGTTGTGTCCACCAAAAAACTAAAAAATAAATATTTAAAAATAAATAAATAAAACAAAAACATCCCATTGATAAGGGAGGACACAAGGACAAGAGCGGGAGGGAAAGCTCCATCCCTGCCTCATCTCTCTGCAGCCTTCTTCCTAGGCTCCTGACCTGTGGCCCATGTGAACCAGTACCTGGCCCACCCTCCCTCTGGGGAGCCTCAGCAGCAGCCACCTGAGTCTCATTCCTGCCCTCCCTGTCTCCCAATCTAGTGCAGGCTAAAGAAGCTGTCCTCAGGGCTCCCAGACTACAACCCACTCTTCAGGGTAGAAGCCCACATCCTGACTGGGAGCAGCTGCCATCCTAATTGACTTTTTCAGGAGCACAAGTGCCCATACCTTTGTGCCCAGGACCCATCAGGACACCAAACAGGAAAAGTAGGCACACAGACTCCGAAAGCCAGGTGGATACTGGGAAGTGGCCAGGAGGCCTTGCCCCTCTGCTCCACACCACAGATGACACTACATGTGTACAGTCATCCCATGATGGAAAACATGCTGGACACACAGAGGAGAAGCCTCCAGGTGAGCTGATTCCATATAAAGTTTGGAGGATGAAGC